CCCATACCCATGCCCCAAGAGCCCCAAAATCCAGCCCCCCACCACCACATGGGTGGTCCCCGGGGGCCCATGGTGGGGGACATGAGGGCCCCCCACAGATGTCCCTGTCCCGGACTGCCAATCGGGGTGGTGTTGGGGGGCAAATATAAAACTGCACCCAACTCTTGTTACCTTCTACAAACAAACACCGTTAGAAAAATACTGCATGAACCTTTGATCACTTAACAGGCAGAATTTAAGAAGAAAATGACGGGGAACAGGGGGACAGGTGGTGATGGTGGGGGACCCCCAGCCCACTGCCCCACGGTGGGGGCTGCTGGGAAGCTGCAAAGGCTGGGCTGGGCCTGGGAGGAAGGCAGGGCTCACACCTCCTCCCCCCCAGACCCCAGGCACCGCGCCACGGAAGCCCAGACATTTCTGGGGCAACTGGGGGGGGACGGGTGGCCATGAGGGCTGGGCCCATAGCCCCCTGCCAGGGACCCTCCCCTGCCCCCTGCCATGGGGTTGTGGGTGGCAGCCCCCCTGCTCCCTGCGAGGGGCAAAGCTGCCCGGTGCCAGGGCGGGGAGGGATCTGCACCCCCAGAAGCCTGCAAAGAAGCATCCTCAGCCACCAGAAATAACAATTATGTCACCCAACGAGCTCCATCTATTCCTGAAAAACAACCGCGCTGTCACCAGCGCGAGGCAAGGAGAGGAGAAGGGTCCCAGCCACTCGGGTTGCCTTGGTGATGGGACGTAAATCTGCATTCGCCAGGTTTCCCCGCACGTACATCAAACCGCCGAGCCCGGTGCGGTGCTGGTGCCAGGCAGTGAGGGCAGCGGAGGATGCCGGCACCGCATCCCAACGGCGAGCGGGTCACAGGCACCGGGTGCTGGGTGCAAGGGTCCCGGGTGGGTTTCTCCTCTCCCTGCTTCGTTTCTGGTGGTTTTTTCGCCACCGTCAAAACTGCACAGCGCCGGGGGAGATGTTGAACATGGAGGGGTCGAACTTCTGGCCGCGGAAGGGGGAGCCCTCAGTGTCCCAGCCCTTCTTCAGCATCTCGTGCACCTTCTGCAAGAGGCCACATGAACCTGTCAGGGTGGGGCCGACCCCACACCTTCGCCCGCCCTGGGCAAGGGCAGCGCCCATTCCCAAGGGCACACAGCCCCCCCAGTGCATGGGAGAGGTCGGGCGGCGCACAGGGCCTGAACGGACCCACGTGGGCTCGTCCCAGTGTGGAGGGAGCTGGGGGAGAGTGAGATCGTGCCAGGGAATCGGCTCACAGGCCTTTCCTGAGGTTCCGGGGAGGGGAAGACAGGAGCATGCGGGCAAAAGCCAGGGACTGGCAGAACCTCATGCCCCCAGGATGAAGATGTGGGGGGGATGCTGTGTGAGGTGGAGCTCAGAGATGGAGCAGAGCCATGGAGCTGCCCCACGCTGCACCCTTTTACTGGAGATGGGACCCAGGGAGGAGCCCGAGGGCACATGGCTGGGGGCTCCAGATGGCTAGCACCTACCAGCTCGTGGCTCTGGGGTTTGCCCTGCAGCTTCTGGTGGTAGTCGAAGGTGAGGCGGTCCAGCATGGCGTGCTCCTCCTCATCGACCGTGGCCATGGAGCGCTCCTTGTTGATCTTGTCAATGTCAATCTGCTCCTCGCCCTCTAGGATAGCGTTCCACCAGTACTCATCCCCTTTGTTCAGGTTGATCTGGGGATGAAGTGTGGGTCAGAGGAGAGCAGGGAGAGGAGCCCCAACCCCACCCCCGGGATGTTACCCCCCCG